TTATGTAATATTTGACATATCAAAAAGTATATTGCAGTTGAGGAAACAAGCACTCAGTAACAAAATTTGAACTTTTGTTACTGAATTTTTGAACTAAAATGGGCTGGTGTTCATGTAAATTTAGGCAGCTTTACCTCAACACACACACACTTTTTTTTTTTATGTTAATCACTATACATTACATCATTAGTTTTTGCTGTAGTGTCCCATGATTCATTGTTTGCCTATAATACCCAGTGCTCCATGCAAAATGTGCCCTCTTTAATACCCAACACCAGGCTAACCCATCCTTCCACCCCCCTCCCCTCAGTTTGTTTCTCAGAGTCCATCGTCTCTCATGGTTCGTCTCCCCCTCCGATTACACACTTTTAAATTGGGAATTGGGTCTTTTTTTAAACAATTTTTTATTGTTATGTTAATCACCATACATTACGTCATTAGTTTTTGATGTAGTGTTCCATGATTCATTGTTTGTGCGTAACACCCAGTGCTCCATGCAGAACGTGCCCTCTTTAATACCCATCACCAGGCTAACCCATCCTCCCACCCCCTCCCCTCTAGAACCCTCAGTTTGTTTTTCAGCGTCCATCGTCTCTCATGGTTCGTCTCCCCCTCCGATTTACTCCCCTTTATTCTTCCCCTCCTGCTATCTTCTTCTTTTTTTTTTTTTCTTAACATATATTACATTATTTGTTTCAGAGGTACAATCTGTGATTCAACAGTCTTGCACAATTCACAGCGCTCACCATAGCACATACCCTCCCCAATGTCTATCACCCAGCCACCCCATCCCTCCCACCCCCCACCACTCCAGCAACCCTCAGTTTGTTTCCTGAGATTAAGAATTCCTCATATCAGTGAGGTCATATGATACATGTCTTTCTCTGATCGACTTATTTCACTCAGCATAACACCCTCCAGTTCCATCCACGTCGTTGCAAATTTTTTTTTTTTTTTTAAGTCATGGTGTATAGATCAAAATTGGGGTCAAAATTTAAAATCAGATGTAGTGACTCCAAGATTTTTATTCTTTGATTAGTACTGTACTCTTCTTTATCTTCAAAATACCGGTCTCAGATCGTTTTTGGAACAAGGTATGGCATAGTCATTCAAACATTATGAGGTATGGGTTGAAAATTACAAGATAGTTTTCAATAAGTAGAAAAGTCAGATTTTATTTCTTCCTATATTTCCCTATTTTTGCCCTTTTCTTTCTTTTTTTTTTTTAAGACTTTATTTTTCAGTAGTCTCTACGTTCAGTGCATTCAGTGTGGGGCTTGAACCTACAGTCCTGAGATCAAGAGTCACATGCTCTTCTGACTGAGCCAGCCAGGTGCCCCTGCCCCATCCTGTTTTTTATATTTTTTCTTATTAGGTACTAATATGAAAAATATATGTAGGACTGATAGATCCAAAGGTAAAGAAGCTGTTAGTTTAGAAAAAAATATAAACACTTTACACAAAGGAACATAAAGTCACTAAACAACATGAAAAATCTTTGATATGAAAAATTCGTATTTGAGCCACATTAGTGTAGCACTTTACAACTATTAAAGTAGTAAAAGTTTTAAAAGGATAGCAGCACTTGGTGTCAATAATGTGAAATGGTATGTTGATTTGACCCTTTTGTTTTTGAGGGAAAAAGGCAGTGGACGAAGTCTTGTCTTTTGACCTAGTAATTGCAGTCTTTTGAAGTTTTTTTCAGAAGACGTTGTTCAGAAAAGCAGGTATTCTTGTCTCATTATCTGTAGTTCACAAAAATTGGTTACAAAGTGAATGTCCAGTGGGGAATAATGTAGTAGATTATACTGTAGCAGCAAGGTATACCTGTATTAATCACAGAGAATAATTTGCTATACAAAATAGTAGGCATACTGATTGCAATTATAAAAAAGTAAAGTAAAAGCTAACTACAGATAGAGTTCTGTTTCTAAGATTGAGGGATTACTAGTATTTTTATCTTTAATAATTTTAATTTTTTGCAGTGTATCTGTTAGAAAAAATTATAGTGACCAGTTTTTGATGAGTTAATCATTTTGCCATTTGTGCTCTCTTGCTTGCTTTGCTATGGTCATTAGTTTTTCAAAGGCTTAGTGTAAAAGTAGGTGAAAGAAAGTGAGTGTTTTGTCTAGTTCATCCATCGTGTGATTACTACTGTATTCCCAAATCGTTGCATGGTACCTGGCACATATTGCTTGTGATTGATTGGTGGATTAAAAGCCATTTCCTATCACTTATCTATGTATGTTTCTATTTATCTTTCTATGTATTAGGGATTTGTTTTTGTTTTTTTTCTTTTTTTAAGATTTATGTATTTTAGAGATAGAACATGGTGTGGGGAGGCGCAGAGGGAGAGGGGAGGGGAGAGAGAGAGAATTTCAAACAGACTCCCTGTGGAGCATGGATCCTGATGCGGGGCTCGATCTCATGACTCTGAGATCATGACCTGAGCCAAAATCAAGAGTTGGATGCTTGAATGCTTAACCAGCTGAGCCACCCAGGTGCCCCTGTATTAGGGATTTCCTTAAGTTTGCTTCTTTTTTGTGAGTATAGTTACATTTTTCATCAAGTCATATAATAGATGTGGTACTTTGTAAAATGGGTTGCCCTTCTTATTCTGAGCAAGAGAAACTGGAAGGCCTCTGAACCCAAGGGCAGACATGGCATATATCTGTATTTGAATTCATAAAACTTGGCACTTAATGTGCAATAAATATTTGTTGAATGGTCAGAAGATTAACATTTGAATCCTGTCTATGCCATTTAAATAGTGTGATTTTGGACAGTTCTCTTACGTTATCCTTTTGAGCCTCAGTATTCTCAGTTTATATAAAATAGGAAAAATAACTTCAAATTTTTTTTTAAAGATTATTTATTTGAGAGAGAGACTGAAAGAGCAGGGGAGGGACAGAGGGAGAGGAAGAAGCAGGCTCTTCCTGAGTAGGGAGCCCCACATGGGGCTTACTCCCAGGATTCTGGGATCATGACCCGGGCTGAAGGTAGACACTTAGGCAACTGAGCCACCCAGTGCCTCCAAATACTTTCTTTTTGAAGATTTTATTTATTTATTTGACAGAGAGGGAGAGAGAGCACAAGCAAGGGGAGCAAGTGAAGGAGAAGCAGACTCCCCGCTGAGCAGGGGAGCAGGGAGCCTGATGGCAGGGCTTGATCTCAGGACCCTAGGATCATGACCTGAGCCGAAGGCATACACTTAACTGAGTCATCCAGATGCCCCAGGATAACTTCAAATATTGAGGATTGTTACGAAGAATAAACCGGATGAATGAGTGTTTTGTTTTTTTTTTAGACGAGTGTTTTTATTATCTATGGCTATGTAACAAAATACCTCAAAACTTAGTAGCCTCAAACATTATCTCAGTTTCTGTGGGTCAGAAGGAGTGGCCTAGTTGTTTGGCTGTGACCTGGGTCTCTCATGAGGCTGCAAGGCTGCAGTTAAGGTGTCAGCCAGGGCTGTAGTCATCTGAAGGCTTGACTGGGGTTGGATCCACTTTCATGCTCACTGATGTGACTGTTGGCAAGCCCCAGTTCTGTGCCATGTGAGCTTCTCCACAGGGCTGCCTCATGACATGGCAGTTGGATTGCCACAGAGCGAGCATCCCAGATGGAAGTCACAGTCATTTCTAACTTAATTGGCACTGACATCTTACCACTTCTGCTGTATTCCATTTGTTGGGGGCTAGCCAATAAGTGCAGTCCACACTTTAGGCAAGGGAATTTACACAATAGCCAGGAGGCAGGGCTTGTTGGGGGCTATCTTAGAGGCTGCCTGCTGTATTAAGAAAGCAGGTGGTAGTTTGCCCAGCAAATTTCCAGATATTTTATCCTTCAAAAAAATAATATGTGGTAACAACCTAGTAAGTGTTGGGGCAAACAGGATATTGAATCTTAATACATATGAAATGGAATATAAGAGGATGACCAGAAATTAGAATTCCCTCATTTTCAGATACAACTGTACAATTTTCTTTCACTTTCATGGTGGTTTAGTACAAAGAATTGAGGTTGTTACTGAAGTATAGGTAACTATAGGTTATAAATGGAAGATATCAATGTATGTTCTGGATTTTCAGCTAATTTAATGTGAGATTTTATATAATCTGTTATGAATTGTGTATGCTAGCACACGTGGGATGGTGAGTAAAGAAATAATTTGCACAGTTTGGAATTATCTTAATCTTTTGGAAGTACCAATTTAGTCATTTGGTATACCAGGCTGTCTTTCATTGTTAATGGAACTCTTGACTGGCATTAGGTTACACATAGCTTAGTTTGCATTCTGTTCAGAAGCAATTTTTTGTATGCCTATAATGTAATAGATGTTAGAGTAAATGAAAATGAAAAATTATAGTTCACATTGTCTACTTTTGAGTTTACAGTGTTTTTTAGGATAAAAGATAGATTGAATTTTATAGATATCCTATTTGGGCAGAAAATCACCAGTAGAAGTTAATTAAAGAAAGACATGGGGCGCCTGGGTGGCTCAGTCGTTAAGCGTCTGCCTTCGGCTTGGGTCATGATCCCAGGGTCCTGGGATTGAGCCCCACATCGGGCTCCCTGCTCCGCGGGAAGCCAGCTTCTCCCTCTCCCACTCCGCCTGCTTGTGTTCCCTCTCTCACTGTGTCTCTCTCTGTCAAATAAATAAAATCTTTAAATAAATAAAGACACATCATATAATTGAAAATTCTTGTATGACTTTAAAAGCAGTAGTATGTGCTGGTAAGGTAGGTTGGTCCACTTTTCATTGCATCCCCTCTTTATAATGCACATATTATTTGTTTAAAAAAGAATTGCCCAGTCTTTGAATGTTGCACTTTAAGAAACATGTCCAGTACTAGGTGAATATGTCTGCAGCAGTTCTGTTATTCACACTTCCTGAGCATTGGAGTAGGCACATCTGCACAAAAGCGTGATCTGAACCTTCCAGTCTGCTTTCAGAATCCTTATTGGCTGAGGCACATGTTTATTTATTTTCATTACAGGGAGACCAAATTTTGAGGAAGGTGGACCAACATCGGTGGGAAGAAAGCATGAATTTATACGATCAGAAAGTGAAAACTGGCGTATTTTTAGAGAAGAACAAAATGGAGAGGATGAAGATGGAGGTTGGCGGCTAGCTGGACCGAGACGGGATGGAGAGAGGTGGCGGCCCCACAGCCCTGGTAAGGCTCCTGCTGAGTGAGCGCAGGGACCAAAATAAGGGAGTATTTGGTCGAAATTGTTACTGATTAAGCAGAAAAGATGAACAGGTTAAAACAAAAGAGAGGACTCAATTATTTATGTTATCACACTCAGTCTTATTACTACAAAAAAATTTCAGTATGAAGATTCCCTGTATCTCTTCAGTTATGAAAATCATTTTTATTTTTCTGGAGCAGATAGTGTGGTTTAATGGGAAGCACCTGTCTTTAACTGCAAAAAACGTGAGAGGGTCTCCATCAGGTTTTTTCTAACACTAAATCTTTGTATCTTTTTCAGCATGCTTTAAAACTTATAAATGTGTAATTATATGCTCACTAAGGAATATGTGCTCTCCCTAAAATGGGTACTTTTCCTGTATAATAAAAGATTTATTCTTTCAATTTTTTTTGTCCTGAAAAAGTGATTTATGCTTATTTGAAGGATAAACTCTAAACCCAGGTCAAAAACATAATCATAAGTTCATTCTTTTGTCCTAACTTTAGAAAAAGGAGAGAGAATAGTAGTGATTAGTGGTTTTGTAAGTTCTTCTGTTTGACTCTTAAGAATGCTTCAAACTGTTCTTTCCTGACATTAGATATGCTGGTAATTGAAGACACTGGTGCTTTGTGTCAAAGTTCATCCCCTACCAAAGTGCTGATTCCATGCCTCATGATAATCAGATGCCACTGTAGTTTGAATCGTGGGGTCATGCAGAACCGAAGTGCACAGAGAGTGTATAATATTTGCCTTATGAATTTCATGTGCATAACATTATTTTCATTATCAACCGTATGCCAAAGAAGCTAACTTTTAGTAGAAGAAATCATAATTAAACTGTTTTCATTTACATTTTAAAATCAAGTTATTAGCAAAATCACTAGTCTCAGCCTGAGTAAACATTATAAAAACATTCAGAGTGCTTTAGGTAGTTATGGATAGGTAGAAACATGGTGAAGTTAATCTTTGTATAGAGTTTTGATGCTTTTACCCCAACTCCTCATGGTTGCCTCTTGGGTGAGTTTTCTGTCATGAGTGGGCATTGTTCACATCACACCTGTCTAGGCAATTCTCATGAGTCTGTGTGCTGGGCAACCAGATGTTATAGTTCTCTTCAAGGCATCACGGCACTTTGTGCTGAGCTTGCCTGTAAGCAAAAGGGTTTGTAGACTATGTTCCCAACAAGCATTCAGTGAAAGAATGGACAGGGTCTGGGCTGAGCGAGAAGAGAAATTCCAGCGGATCAAAAACAAACAAGGTGAATGTTTTAGAAGACCAACAGTATTTGTGAGCCCAAATGTCTGATATCGATTCTATTAAAGAGAGTTAGTTAAAGTAAAATTTTAGTGTATTTTCTACCACTGACCTTCCTCACCCCAACAACTTAGATTTTGGACATATGTTGTCTTTTTCTTAAATCTTTCTCTCTCATATTCAATTTCCATGTCCGATTTATTTGTTATTAACTTAACAATTTCCCCCAATTTTTTATTGATATATTTTTAAAAGACAGTTTGGGGTATGTAATATATGGGGCTGAAAAAACAGTGGAAATAAGCGTTTTTTAAAAGAATACCATCTATTTTTTCAACCAGCATCTTAAAAGTTAAGTCTGATTATATCAGCTGTTATAAATTTCTCTTTTTAACATTTCTTAGGTTATAGTTATTCTTTTATGATTTGATTAATAAATGTTTAAATATGATTTTGACTAATTTTTATATTATAAAAATTGTAGCAGACTTTGATATTGTAAGACGTTAAAAAGCAGTGGTTAGTCTTCATAAGCTAGGGATGTGTCTTCTACATTTGGTTTAAGTGGGGCTCAAAACTGGATATGTATGGGAGATGGGATGATTAAGGACAGCAAAGCATCCACTCTGGGAGCTGAACTTAAGAAACTCAGTAAGAGGAAAACATGAGCCAGATGCCTAGAAGGATAGATTCCTATCATGGTGCATACTTAACAGACGGTTTAGAAATGATAGTAATAGAGAGAGTGCTCTGGAATTCAACATTTGATCATGAGTACTTCTTTTGAGTAATGATTCTAGGTTTGCATTTAAGCAATCTGGATATAAAGTTCTTTAGTTTTCATAGAAGTGTAATAGTTGTTGTAGGTAAAAGATGGGGGAGGATGGGAATAATGTTTTCTTACCTTTTTTGTGAGTGATTTATAAGTAGCTACCTCTGTTGGGCATTTTAATGTTTTGCCTTCTCATTTTCAGTTTGAGTTTTAGATTGCTGGTTTTAGCAAATTGGGCCTCAGTAGTAAGAACATTGAATTTTTGGGCTCATTTCTTTTGTGTATCTCCCACAGAGAAAGCAGTCAAAGAAAATTTTAATAGGTTAAAACCTGCCTCTTTTTAAGACTCTCTTAGACTCAGGTTTGTCAGATATTAAAAAGAGTTCCCCTTTCTTGAAAAACAAAATACCTTAACTGGCATCTTTTATTCTTAGGCAGTATTTTTTCTGTTGGAAAGTAGACGTAATAAACAGTATGCTGGGGTGGATTTTGGAATGTCCCTGGGGGTATTATACAGAAATAAAAACTCCCTAGGGAGAATTAAGAGATGAGAGTAAAGGGAAAGGAAAGTAAGCATGCTGTTGTGGAAAAAGCAGTAGAGGATGCAGAATTAGATTCTAGTTCTGCTTTGCTACAATGCAAGTTACTTCTGTCAGAGTTTTTGTTTCTTAAACTATAAAATTAGAATAGTGGGGCTATATAATATCTCTGACATCTGCCAGTGCTGTAATTCTATGCCTTTTTGTTGGGAATCAGAATTACAAATGGGATCTTGGCATTACCAAATAGGCATGATGAGTTTGATACTAGGATTTGCCACAGGGAGTTGGTCTTATACATCAAGAATGATATTTTCATGAGAAGAAAGAAATGTGTTAAGGCCTGCCAGAGGGAAGGCATGGACTTCAGTGTGGAGAGATATCTAGTGTTATAAGCCTGGGCTAGGAGTATGCCATGTGAATGACTCATCGACATTCCAGTCAGATACCTAAAGCTTATTCAAAGTGTATACTTTGAATCAAGTGTCCTTTAAAAGTGATTTGTGTAAAATTATCTTTCAAAGCTTTAGAGTATGTTGTGCGGCTCAGTACTTACTGAAGATAACCACTCTTGTCACTTAGTGATGTCATGCGTATGCTGAGCTCTGAATTTCAGTTAATTTGCCCAATTTTCTCTTTAGTAGGTTGATCATTTGAATTCACAGCCAGTCATAGTTTTCTTCTTTATTTCGTATTCGTGATTTTTTTTCTCAAATACTGTCATAAAAATTTCCTAAGGTTTGTATCCTCCTCATCCCAGATGGCCCTCGTTCTGCAGGCTGGCGGGAACACATGGAGCGACGGCGAAGGTTTGAGTTTGATTTTCGAGATCGGGATGATGAACGGGGTTACCGACGGGTGCGCTCTGGCAGTGGAAGCATAGACGATGACCGGGATAGCTTGCCTGAGTGGTGCTTAGAGGATGCTGAAGAAGAGATGGGCACATTTGACTCCTCTGGAGCATTCCTCTCTTTAAAGGTAAGAAATTTGTTGTAAATGTTACGATAGGCACTGACCTGCCAGCAAAGCCAAAGGTATTGTTGACCTTTGGCTTTATTTTCTTGATACAGAAAGTACAGAAGGAGCCGATTCCAGAAGAGCAGGAGATGGACTTCCGGCCTGTAGAGGAAGGTGGGGAGTGTTCTGACTCTGAGAGCAGCCATAATGAAGAAGCCAAAGAACCCGATAAGACAAATAGGAAAGAGGGAGAGAAGACAGATAGAGTAGCAGTTGGTAAGCCTCATTTTTGTCTTTTACCTTCTTCTTCAAACCAAAAGTTTCCTAAGTTGTTAATTTAAGAATACTTCACGTTACAGAAGCTAGTGAGGAAACATCCCAGACTTCCTCATCGTCTGCTAGACCAGGTAGTCCTTCAGACCATCAGCCTCAGGAAGCACCACAGTTTGAGAGGAAAGAGGAACCCCAAACTGAGCAAACGGAAAAAGCTGAGGAAGAGAGTCAGACGGAAACTAGCCTACCAACCAAAGTGCCCAGCAGAGGGGATGGTATGTATTTATGAGAGTAGACAAGCTAAAACAGGATTCTGGGGGCACCTGGGTCGCTGGGTCAGTTAAGCGTCTGTCTTTGGCTCAGGTCATGATCCCAGGGTCCTTGGATCGAGCCCCGCATCAGGCTCCTGCTCAGTGGGAAGCCTGCTTCTCCCTCTCCCGCTGCTTGTGTTCCCTCTCTCGCTGTGTCTCTCTCTGTCAAGTAAATAAATTTTAAAATCTTAAAAAAAATAAAACAGGATTCTCCTCGGGCAGGCCAGTGATCACTGATAAGATGGGCTTCTGTTTATGCCTTGTAGAACCTCTCCTATTGGTAAATTATTGGATTAGATTATTTTACCAGTAAACCCCGTCAAATGCTGTTTCCCACGTATTTGTTCTTCCCCAAATTCACCAAAACAGAGTTAGAAGAAGCAAGGGTACAACTCAGGAATCTTACTTCCTAGGGTGTTATGACATAGCCACCTTGGTATCAGTTGAGCAGACAGGGTTTAGGATCCTCTGCAGTAATTTGATCCCCACATCAGACAGGTATCTTCCTTTCATATAGTGGTTGATGTGTGTCCAGAAGGCATACCAAATTGCTCTTGTTCCAAAAGAGGCCAAAAGGAACATGGATGGATCTGTGGAAGTCCTACCATCTTTGTTAGAGAATAAGCTTAAAGTATACCGCCTTCTCCAATGATACTGTTTTGATTTTAATTTGCTCATATAGCTTAGTAGGCAGTTTTAATGTTTACTTCCATGTTTCTTCTTGCGCATAGTTAAAAATGACATTGTAATGCTTGATGTTGAAGGGTTAATTGGTTGAGTCACCATAGGAAATCACACCTTTAACGTGGCACGTGAGCCCTTGCATGACCTGGCATCTGCCTGCTTCCGTAAGGTTTCAGTGCCATCTCTGTCTCCTTTGTACTGTGTTCCCCAGCCTCACAGCCTCTTAGGTCCTGAAATGTGCCTTGTTTTTTTGTCTCGTTGCCTTAGCACATGCTGTTCTCTGTGCCTGAAACTCCATCCCACCCCAAGTTCCCAAGCTAGGTTAGCGATCTTCTCTTGTTTCTTAAACAACCAGCACCATTCCTGACATAGCAATACAATATTATAAAGATCTGCTTGTATTATCTTTTTTGCCTAATAGACTAATATTTTGAGGGCTTAAACCAGGGATATCTTTTCAGAGTTTTATGTCTAGAACAAAGCTTAGTGAGTGAATTCAAGTATTTGAATGTCTGTCAGGCACTGTGGGACTTGTCCATTTTGAGACCTGTTTGATATGTAGTAGTCATTTTTCAGTTATGATGTGCCCCCAAATTACTTGTGGTTCATTCTCGTGAATGTAGATGCCTGGGACCTTATTCTAGGAGATTTTAGGATGGAGTCCAGAATGTGTATTCATAGATATGCATTAAAGATTAAAGCTCCAGATTGATAAGAATAGAAGGGAGATAAAGCATGTGTATATTTGTCATCTAGGGAAAAATTCCTATTTTTAGAGGGTAGGTAAAGAGTAGCCAGGGAAAATCTTCAGAGGCAAGAGTGGCCTAGAGTGAAGGGGGATAGTAAGGAAGGGAGGTTTCAGTTTAGGATTGGGCTGCTGAGGTCAGATGAAGAGGACTGGGAAAAGCCATTGGATTTGGGGACTTTAAGGCACTGTTCTCTTTGGGAGGGTAGAAGTGGAAGTCCTAGTATAGCAGGTGTGGGGGGTGGTGGTATATTGACTGTTTTTTTAAGAAGTTTGGCAAAGAAAGGAAAGAGTTCTGGAGAGGAACAGGAATTTGGAGAAGCTGTCTGTAATTGAACGAACAAGGTTTCAAAGGGGAAACGGCATTTTTATCTAATTACTCCCGTCCCCTTTCCCTTCTTCTTCTTTTTTTTTTTAAATAATTTTTATTGTTATGTTAATCCCCATACATTACATCATTAGTTTTTGATGCAGTGTTCCATGATTCATTGTTTGTGCATTAACACCCAGTGCTCCACGCAGAACATGCCCCCCTCAGCACCCATCACCAGGCTAACCCATCCCCCGACCCCCCTCCCCTCTAGAACCCTCAGTCTGTTTTTCAGAGTCCATCGTCTCTCATGGTTCGTCTCCCCCTCCGACTTACCCCCCTTCATTCTTCCCCTCCTGCTATCTTCTTCTTCTTCTTCTTCTTCTTCTTTTTTTTCCTTAACGTATATTGCATTATTTGTTTCAGAAGTACAGATCTGTGTGATGCAACAGTCCCCTTTCCCTTCTTTAGCCCGCATACTGAGAGGCTAGAAATAGGGACCAGCCCAGAACCTCTTTTGCAGTCTGTGTTCTTATTGAGAAGAACTTCCTGCACTGTCCAGTTTGACTCCCAAATGCTCTTCATTATCCTAAAGACTGTACTGTATTGAATTACATTAATTATCACCTGAAACAGGTATTTATTCAAGATAATTGCAGATATGTGTAATCAAAGTTTTGATGAAAGGTATTTTTGAGAAGATTTGCAGTGCTTTTGTTAATGGTCTGCTGTGTGGAGACACGTTATAAAGAAGGGATTAGACTGATTGTTTGTTTGCAAGAGGGAGACGGATAACTGTTGGGCGGATGCTCTGGTGACACAGGCGGGCACCGTAGAAGGACCCTGTAGATATCTTTTAATCCGTAGGCTTTGTCATTCTGTAGAGGTACTTCCGTCACCGTAGGGAGAAATACTGCATTTCTCCGTAAGAAGCATCTGCAGTGTTCCTGACATACTCACAGTTCCGTTGAGCCCATTTAGTGAACGGCCCAATTTGATGATCCATTCTTCCTAGGAGTCTGTACAGTTTAAAGGGTTTTCATCTTTCCGTGTTTTTTTCCTTTAGAAATGGTTTCTGATGTCCAGCAGCCCCTGTCACAGATTCCTTCCGATACAGCCTCTCCTCTTCTCATACTTCCACCGCCTGTTCCCAGTCCTAGTCCTGCCCTCCGGCCAGTTGAAACGCCGGTCGTAGGTGCTCCTGGGATGGGCGGTGTTTCCACAGAGCCAGATGATGAAGAGGGTCTCAAACATTTGGAGCAGGTAAAAGTCACGTAACCCTTTTTTTCTCAGACAACCGTAAAATTTGGAAGCATTAAATGAATATTCAGAAATGGAACTTCTGTTCGCTAGATTTTATGTACTGGAAAAGTTGTTTGTAAATCTAGTATTTTTTTGTATGAGTAATTGTCTTTCAAATCATTTCATGCTTATAAGTTTCTGCTATGCAGTAGTCATTGTGTCAAGTTATTTTTCTCTTCTGAGATTGCCCTTAGCTGTTTGCTTTTCTTTTTTCTTTTTGGAAATTAATGGAATGCCAAAAATGGCAAATACAAGCAGCTGTGGATGGGCATAGCGTCTTCTGCATTTTTTGCCTAAAGTATAACTGGGAAAATAGTTAAACTCAGGATTTTAACATTTTATTTATGTCTCTAGATTTTCCTAAGATTAGATATACCTTTGTTATATGTAAAGTAAATGATAGCTTGCTTTCTATAGAAGAATTTCTCTTTCTTTTGGGGTGGGGTGGTTTTTGGTGGCAGGAAATGCTTGAAGAGAGAAACAAAGGAGGGCAGTGTCTCAGTAAAACTTGATTTTATTTGTAATTGTATTGAGTCTTTGTTGTATTCACACCCATGTTTTGACAGGTTTAGTTTATATGCTTCAGGATTGACCAATGGCTTATTAGTTTAAAAAGTAATCTTACTGGTGTGTTGATTAGAAGCCTGGGCTTTCATCCATGCCAGTTTGTGTTTCAATCTCAGTTTGGTTTGCTTAATAATTTTGAGACTTGAAGCAAGATTTGACCTCCTGAGGCCTTAGTTTCCCCCTCCATAAAATGGGGACAGTACATATTATATGACCTTGTTGGAAGAAGTAAATGGTTGCCTGCTGTATTTCTTGCACAGTAATACCTTTCACAGGTTAAGTCATTCAAGAAAGGTAGGCATTTTTATTATGTGTTCAAGTATTAATTTGGGATCATTTGTTTCCTCAATCCTTTTTTTTTCCCCCTATTAGCAAGCTGAGAAGATGGTGGCTTATCTCCAAGACAGTGCACTAGATGATGAGAGACTGGCATCTAAACTGCAAGAGCACAGAGCTAAGGGAGTCTCAATTCCATTGATGCATGAAGCAATGCAGAAGTGGTATTACAAAGATCCTCAGGGAGAAATTCAAGGTAACTTGTTCCATTCTACTTGAAGCCATTACCTCTAGATTCTGTAAGATGGTCATTTTTTAATGTTAATTTGCATAGTAGTTGAAAACAGTCCATTTTTACAGGTTTTCATGTGTGTGTGTGTGTGTGTGTGTGTGTGTATGGCATTTCTATAGGTTCCTCCCATGGTACTTTACAATTTTGGAGGGGGGAGGGCAGTCCCCTGGAAATCATTTGATGAATGCAAGGTGGAATGTTGATTACTAATATAATAGGGATATAAACAAAATGCTCAAGACCCGCTCAGTTCTGGCTGCCCAGCTGGTTAACTAGGCAGGTGAATTCTTTATCTTCTTTGTGCTTCAGTTTCCCTCCCATAAAAAGGTGATGGCAGCGGTGTTGGAAGACCTTACTTGAATGTTTTGCTGAAGTGGAGTTGATATCATAAATGATAAAGACCTGTTAAAAATGTGGGAGAAAGGATCGTACATATTATATGTTAATCCTTTAAAAGATTTGTATGGTGTACAAGTTAGATTAGAATAGGGAGAGAATGCTATAAAAGACATTTGTTGATTCTTCATTTCTGCTTTTGAAATCTTCGTTTATAACCTGAAATTGGTTGACTATGTTAGTGTCAGTTTCATGATAATGTTTTACCAAGTATACCCTGTGACCTCTTTCCAGCATACTAACTCCTTTTCCACACTCAGTCCCCTTACCCTTTCCCTTTATTCTCCTTCATAGCATCTATTATTGCCTGGCTCTGGATATATTTATTCATGATCTGTTTACATCTCTGTAGAATGTAAGGTGCATGGGATCAGGACTGTGCGTGTGTGAGTTTTTTTGTTTGTTTTGTTTTTGGTAAAACAAGCAAAAGCATTTATTTGATGTTTTGGAGATTGCAACTGGAGAGACAAAGTGTGCTTCCAAGTTGAGGACTCTGTTTTAATTAAAACACATGGGTGTGTGTTTTAATTAAATTTACTTTAAGATAATTGTAACTTCACATGCAGTTGTAAGAAATAATAGAGATTTTATGTATTACTTACCCAGTTTCCCGCACTGGTAATCTCATGCAAAACTGTAGTACAGTATCCAGCCTGGATGTTGACTTTGATATAGTCAAGATTCAAAACATTTCCATCTCATGTTGCCCTTGGATAGCCACATCCATTTCCTTCCCATCCGTATCTACTCCCTTAACACTTGGCAACCACTAATCTATTCCCCACTTCTATAGTTTGTCATTTCAAGAATGTTACATAAATGGAATCTATTTCCATCAAATGGAAATTTTTTTTTTTTTTTACTCAGCATAATTCTCAGGAGATTGATACAGGTTGTTACATATATAGTAGTGTTTTTTTTGTTTTTTTTTTTTAAGATTTTATTTATTTGACAGAGAGAGACATAGTGAGACAGGGACTACAAGCAGGGGGAGTCGAAGAGGGAGAAACAGGCTTCCGGCCGAGCAGGGAGCCCGTTGCGGGGCTTGATCCCAGGACCCTGGGATCATGACCTGAGCTGAAGGCAGACGCTTAGGACTGAACCACCCAGGTGCCCCTGTGTTTCTTTGTTTTTTTTAACTGAGAAGTACATCACTGATATGGGTATATCATAGTTTATTTTATTTTATTTTGTTTTAAGATTTTATTTCCTTATTTGACAGAGAGAGACACAGTGAGAGGGGGAACACTAGCAGGGGGAGTGGGGGAGGGAGACCTGAGCCGAAGGCAGACACTTAACGACTGAGCCATGCAGGCACCCTCTTCATGTTTTTTAACTTGTATTCTGATTAGATTGTTTACTTTTTTACCTTTGAGTTTTGAGATTTCTATATATAGATACTAGTCCTTTATTAGATATGTAGTTTGCAAATATTTTCTCCCAATCTGTATCTTTTTATCCTCTTTAACAGAGTCTTTCACAGATCAAAAGTTTTAAATATTGATGAAGTCCAGTTGATCAGTTTTTCCCTTTTATGGGTTGTGTTTTTGGTATTAGGTCTGAGACAGAAGAATTCTTTTTCTAGCTTCAGATCCCAAAATTTCCTTTCCAAAATAATTTATAGTTTTTTGTTTTACATTTAAGTCTGTGATCTTTTTTTTTGAAAGATTAATTTATTATTTATTATTTAGTTAGAGAGAGTCTCAAGCAGACTCCACACTGAGCGGGGAGCCCGATGTGGGGCTTGATCCCGTGACCCCAAGATCATGACCTGAGCCAAAACCAAGACTGCTCAACTGACTGTGCCACCCAGGAACCCCAGCTCTGTGATCTATTTTGAATTAATTTTTGTGTAATGAATGGGACTTAGATCAAAGTTTTTTTGCTGGTAGATGTCCAGTTGCTCTGGAACCTTTTGTTGAAAAGCCATCTTTCCTCTTTTGAATTCCTTTTGTACCTTTGTCAAAATTCATTTGGGCATATTTATGTTGGTCTGTTCCTGTGTTCTTTCCTCTGTTCCACTGATCTGTGTGTCTCTCTTTCCACAATATCATAGTCTTGATTACTGTAGCTATATAATGTCTTGAAATTGGGTAGACTGGTTCCTCCCGTTTTTTTTTTCTCCTAGTTTATTTTTATAAAAACAGTTTTTAGCTTTTCTAGTTCCTTTGCCTTTCCTTGTAAATTTTAGAATAGTCTTGTCTATATTTACCATATAAATGTATTCAAAAACCTATATTTAAATATCTTGCTGAGATTTTAATAGGAACTGTGTTAAACCTCTTTATCATTTTCAAGAGAATTGACATCTTTCCCATGTTGAGTCTTCCAATCTATGAACTTGTGTAGTTTTCAGCATAGATTCTACACATGCTTTTATTAGGTTTGCATCTACTTGAGGGGCTCCTGGGTGGCTCAGTCATTAAACGTCTGCCTTTGGCTCAGGTCATGATCCCAGCGTCCTGGGATCGAGCCCCACATTGGGCTCCCTGCTCCGCGGGAAGCCTGCTTCTCTCTCTCCCACTCCCCCTGCTTGTGTTCCCTCTCTCTCTGTCAAATAAATTAAAAAAAAAAGATTTGCATCTACTTGATTTTTTTTTTTGAGTAATTGTAAATTTTATTTCAATGTCTTTGTGTTCATTGTTACTCTATAGAATTGAATTTTGGATGTTTGTCTTTAGTCTCTGACCTTGGTGAGCTCATTTATTAGTTTTAGGAGTGTGTTGTTGTTAATAGGATTTTCTTTGTAGACATTACTGTCATCTATAAATAGGGACAGTTTTATTTTTTCATTTCCAGTCTATGCCTTTTATTTCCTTTTGCTGCCTTATATATTCCAACGATATGATGGGTGGGAGCAGACATACTTGCCTTGTTTTTCCTCTGTTCCTATCTTAAGGGGAACACATTCAGTCTTAAATAAGTGTAATACTAGCTGCTGGCTTTTTATAGATGCTCTTTATGAAGTTGAGGAAGTACCTTATTTTTTGAGAGTTTGGGTATTGGTTTTTTCAAATGCTTTTTCTGCATCTTTTGATAGGATCCTGTGATTTTTCTTCTTTAGCAACTTTGGTGGATTAAATTGATTGCATTTTGAATATTGAACCAGCTTTGCATCCTTGGAGTAGGCCCCATTTGGTCATGCTGTATAACTCTTTTTATATATTGCTGGATCCTATTTGGTAATGTTAAGGATTTTTGTGTCTGTGTTCATGAGGGATGTTGCTTTGTAGTTTTTTTGGTATCCTCATTGTCTGGTTTTAGTATCAGAGTAATAGCTTCATAAAATGAACTGGGAATTAGTTCCTCTCCTATTTTTCTGGAAGACTGTTTACAATTGGTGTTAATTCTTCTTTAAATGTTTTGTAGAATTCCCTAGTGAAACCATCTGGGGACTTCTCTTTTGGGATTTTTTTTAAAGTAGGCTCTATGCCCAACATGGGCCAGGCTTGAACTCACGACCTTGAGATCAACAGTCACATGTTCTGCCCACTGAGTCAGACAGATGCCCCGTTTTTTTTTGGAATTTTAAAACCACAAATTCAATATCCCTAATAGTTACAGGGGCTATTTAAATTACTGATTTAGTATGGGTTGATTTGGTAGTTTGTGTTTTTTGATGAATTCATCCATTTCATCTAAGATGTCAAATCTATGTGTTAAGAGTATTATTCCCTTATTCTCTTTTTGATGTTTGCAGGTTCTGTAGTAATAGCCCCTGTTTTATTCCAGATGTTGGTGACTTGTTCATTTCTCTTTTGTCATTGTCAGTCTTGCTACAGATTTGTTAATTTTATTGATCTCTTTAAAGAATCAGTTTTGTTTCATTGATTTTTTTCACTATTTTTTTGTTTTCAGTTTCATTGCGTTGTGCTCTTATTTCTTTCCTTCTTCTTAGGGTTTATTTTGCTTTTCTTTTTCTAGGGTCTTGAGGGTGCGTGCTTATAGTATTGATTTGAAAGACTTTTTTTTCTAATGTAAGCGTTTGGTATCATCAATTTCTCTTTCAGCACTTAACTGTGTACCACAAATTTTGATACATGTATTTTCATTTTCATTCAGTTTAGTGTACTTTTTTTTTTTTTTAAAGATTTTATTTATTTGTCAGAGAGAGGAGAGAGAGCACGCGCACAAGCAGGGGGAGCGGCAGGCAGAGAGAGAAGCAGGCTCTCCACTGAGCAAGGAGCCTGATGCGGTGCTTGATCCCAGAATCCTGGGATCATGACTTGAGCCGAAGGCAGCCCCTTAACCGACTGAGCCACCCAGGCGCCCCCCTCCCCTTTTTTTTAAAGAGAGGTGAGGGGGTTGCAGAGGGAGAGGTAAAGAGAATCTTAAGCAGGCTCCACGCACAGCATGTGATCTTGACGCAGGGATTGATCTCACAACCCTGAGATCATGACCTGAGCCAAAATCAAGAGTTGGACACTTAACTAATTGAGCCACCCAGGCACCCCCCAGTTCAGTGTATTTTTTTTTTATTCTCATGAGACCTCCACTTTTGAAAAAAATACATTTAAGTAATCTCTACACGCAAGTGGGGCTCAAACTCACGATCCTGAGATCAAGAGTTGTATGCTCGGGGCGCCTGGGTGGTTCAGTCATTAAGCGTCTGCCTTCAGCTCAGGTCAATCCCAGGGTCCTGGAATTGAGGCCCGCATCAGGCTCCCTGCTCAGCGGGAAAGCCTGCTGCTCCCTCTCCCACTCCCCCTGCTTGTGTTCCCTCTCTCGCTAGTGTCTCTCTCTGTCAAATAAATAAATAAATTCTTTAAAAAAAAAAAAGTTGTATGCTCTTCTGCCTGAGCTAGCCAGGCCCCCAAGAGACTTCCACTTTTACTCGTGGATAATTTGGAAGTGTGTTTAGTTTCCAAGCGTTTGGTTTCCTGTTACCTTTCTGTTAACGATTTCTGGCTTGATTTTATTGTGGTTGAAAAACACATGATATATAATTTCCGTTCTTAAAAATGTATTGAGATTTATTTATGGCCCAGAATATAGTTCTTTTTGCTGTATGTTCTTTGGGTACTTGAAAATGTGTATTTTGCTGTCCTTGGAGCGTTCTATAAATATCAATTGGACCTTGTTGATTGATGGTTTTGTTGAGCTCTATAATCCTGTTGGTTTTTTGTCTAGTTCTCTCAGTTGTCATGAGAATGGTGTTGAAGTTTTCAGCTGTAATTGGGGATTTCTCTGTCTTTTCAGTTTTACTAGATTTTGCTTCACATATTTTTACAGCTTTGTTTGGTGCATACACTTTTACGATTGCTGTGTCTTCTTGTGGATTGGTGGATTGACCCTTTATTGATATATAATATCCCTCTCTGTCTCTGGTAATTTTCTTTGAAGTCTGCTTTATCAAATACTAATATAGCCACTCTAGTCTTCTTTTTTTGTTGTTTTTTTGTTTTGTTTTGTTTTTTTTGTTTAACGCTTGCATAATATATCTTTTTCTGTCCTTTTATTTTCAGCCTGCCTGTATTATATTTGAAATGACTTTCTTGTACATAGCATATAATTGTTGTACATATCGAGTCATGTTTTTTGTTACTGGCTTCTTCTGCTCCAAATCTGGGATACATGAGGTAAAATGAAAAGTCAGGGAATTCACCACTATGTGTTTTCTTAGGCCCCAAGGTTCTAGCCAGTCTGCCTTCTCCCTACTCTTCAGAGTCTTCTTTTGTATATAATGTGTAGGGTTTTTTGTTGAATTTAGCAGGAGGAGCAGGGACAAGTACATCTATTCCATCTTCCTAGGATTGGACATTCTAGGGATTTGTTTTATCTAGTATTGTATTCTCACTGCCTAGACCCATATAATTGGTGTTCAGTAAATAGTTGCTGTATGAATGAACTAATGGTTATGGATCAGAGTGCATTTGTGAATTTTATGTATAAAATATTTGATTTTTAATTGTAAAAACATCTCGAGAGTGTCGTCGCACCCCTGCCTCTGGCCAGATTTAGTCATACCTGGGTAAATCAATTGTAAATTATCTTAATTTAATAGATTATTATTTATACTTTGCTAACCTTTAATAATCTGGCAGAAAATGAAAATTAGAGGAAAGCACATTTAGCCTTACATGTTTATATTCTTTATGCCTTAGTAATGTAAAGTAACAAACATACTCTTCTCAGTTTTATTATACTTTTCTGATAAATGAATTTGTAGAGATTGAGTGAGATGTAGACAATTATGCTCCTTAAAATAATTAAAGCCCCACAGAGAATTTGGGATGCATAGACAGAAATCTTATTTCAAAACAATTTCTGTTGTATTTTATTAGAAGCCTATTTTTACTACCTTTGGAGATGGATTAAATTAAAATATCATACAAAATATTTGACAGGTGTCACCTGAAACAAGTTGTACCTCTAGATAAGGATCAGATTCAGGAAATATTTTTTTCCTCTTCAGTCTGAAAGAATTTTTATTGCCCTTCTGTTTAATTGGTGCTATTATAGGTCCCTTCAATAATCAGGAGATGGCGGAATGGTTTCAGGCGGGCTATTTTACTATGTCTTTATTGGTGAAGAGAGCATGTGATGAAAGCTTCCAGCCTCTTGGTGATATCATGAAAATGTGGGGAAGGGTTCCCTTCTCTCCCGGTCCAGCTCCCCCTCCTCATATGGTAAGTACCTTACAGCTCACCCAGAACACATACTAGATGAAGAAACCCTTGCTTCTCTTTGTAAACACAGCCCAGATGTTGCATCTAATGAGAAAGAAACTGCACTTTTTGAAAGTAATTGAAACGGCAATGGGCAGTTTGGATTGTAGACTGCATACCTAGCTCTAACGATCTTTTCAAAACTCAAATACCTGTGTTCAACCCCACTCCCCCCACCTCCCCCTCCCCCCCACCCCCAAATTCTAAAGAAACAAAATCCTTCAGTAGCTTCCCAGCAGGTATAGAATAAAAAACAACATCTTATCCTGTTTTGCCTATCAGGTCCTACATGTTCTGGCTCCTTATTTTTCTAAGCTCACTTCGAGCTTTTACCTTTATCTACTGTGCTTCAATTAAGTTGACTTTTTAGAGTTCCTTTTTGCCTCTAATTAGGATGCACATTCTCCTCTCCTCCCATTCACTTACCTCTTTTTGCCTCTTGCTTTCCGACTCATGAAGTTCCTAAATTTTAGGTTTACCTTAAAGCAAATAAATGTTACTAATAAAAAATTCTAGTGCTTTGGAATATTTTGAATTGAATACTTTTTTCTTTTCTTTTTTTTAAATATAAGTTACTGGTATTTTAACTAAAAATTGGATCATAATGTAACCTCCCTTGTACACTGGCACTGGAATACCTTTGAAGGGGAAATCTTACTCCTCTGCAGCTGCGTCTGGGCTTCTCCCTATAGAGTTCCTTTTGGAGGGCTTTGGATGGGTGGGTGCCTTACTTTTCCTTCTCCAGGTTGGAGTGTTGGGTGGCAGCTATAGTCAGAAGTGGCCGTAGCCAGACACCTTTAGTGTGAACACTGGGTCACTGCAGCAACAATCACCATTGATTTATTCATTAGCTACATAGTTAAGGCCTGTGCTAGGCCTTGGGGTAGGTTCTTATACAATCAAGGTAAATAGGACACAAACTCTCTTATGGTCATAGGGGTTCATAGGTAAGAACAGTGGGCATCAAACTTGTTTGGCACAGCCCGTAGTAAAATAAGTGAGTTTTACATCACTACTCTGTACATTCATAACTCTCTGTGTATATTTGTGAAACAAGTTTCACAAAGCATTTTGTGCCATGCACATATTTTCTCCCTCCCTTCCTCCCTTCCTCCCTTTCCATATAAATATTGATCTTGACCCAGTAATTGATGTCACAATCCACTGATGGGTTGAGACCTCCTATAATTTGGAGAACAGTGATGATTCCTCGGTGAGGGGAATTATTTCTGACATTTCTGTTATAAATCCAAAGAAAAATGAATTGTGTATTCTTGTATAAACATTTAACTTATATACCAAGTTTGAGCTCTATTTCCCTTTTCTGAAATTGGGATGAGTTATCGTGCATGTTTCAGAGCTGAAAGTTCATCCCTTGGAGCTTGTCATGTTTGCCCTAGCCCATTTCCTGACTTGTAGTTATAGGGGCTGAGCCTCAGTTATGGGAAGAACCATGGCAAGCTCTGTTTCTGTCAGCTGTTACTGCTGTTGCCCTGAATAGAACTGATAAGAAGAGAGTTCACCTTTATGATGAATGTACCTTGAAATGTAGTTTTTTTTTTTTTTTTTTAAGATTTTATTTATTTATTTGAGAGAGAGAGAGCACAAGTGGGGTGAGGGTCAGAGAGAGAAGCAGACTCCTTGCTGAGCAGGGAGCACAAAGTGGGACTCGATCCCGGGACTCCAGGGTCACGACCTGAGCCGAAGGCTTAAGGACTGAACCATGCCGGCACCCAAAATGTAGAAGTTTTAGATTAACCAAGTGTAGCTTCCATCCTCCAGTATGTAATGGGAAAGAAAAATGTCCCCGAATTTCAAATGATCTCCACCCCAAGAAATTGTGTATCCAGTGTTTTATTCCAAAGCATAGTCTATGTACGATAAAGATATAAACTGTTCACTAATGATTTGCCTTAATCTATGTCACCCTTAAGCTTTTATTATTTCTATTATCTTCCACTTCACATTTCATTCTTTTCCCAATTTTAACTTTTCAGAATTTAAATTCCAGCTATGTTACTTGAAACACACACTAAAATTTATTTTTTCTAACCTCATACACACACACACACATACATATTTTTAAGATTTTTTTTTTTTATTTGACAGAGAGAGCGAGTGAGAGCACAAGTAGGCAGAGTGGCAGGCGGAGGCAGAGGGAGAGGGAGAAGCAGGCTCTCCACTGAGCAGGGAGCCAGATGTGGGGCTCGATCCCAGGACCCTGGGATCATGACCTGAGCCGAAGGCAGACACTTAACTGACTAAGCCATCCAGGCACCCCTCTAACTCATGATATATTAATAGCAATAGAAACACCTAATTTGGGGGTGGAAAGTTATAATTTTCAAAGCTCTTTCATATTCTGTTAATGTAAAACTTCTCAGCATCTTTACCTAAAGACGTACTTCTACGCTGCTCTCTATATTCATTATGGGCCCTTGTCAAATTCCTACTGTAACATTAACTTCAGATAATTTTACTCCTTTCTGCAAGCTTTGTCCTGTTTCTCTTAATTTCTGCAGGATCTCCAGGTTTACAGATCACTTTTTTTTTTAAATAAAGATTTTATTTATTTATTTATTTGACAGAGACACGGGGAGAGAGGGAACACAAGCAGGGGGAGTGGGAGAGGGAGAAGCAGGCTTCCCGCTGAGCAGGGAGCCCAATGTGGGGCTCCATCCCAGGACCCTGGGATCATGACCTGAGCCGAAGGCAGACGCTTAACGACTGAGCCACCCACTTTTAACACTGAGAAATAATACATTTTTTGTAATGACTCTGGAGTACAGTACAACATTTAGCTTCAAGGGTAGGAGGAGAGAACAGCCCCCCTTTCCCACCCTAGGGAATCTCTTACAATGCAGACACCACCTTTTTCCACTAGATGGCATTCTTTAGTTTTTTAAGAGTTTTTGTAATAGTTGAGTGTTTTGGAGCATAAAGGGGAGGTGGGAAGTGAAGGTCTGAGATTCAGTTTGCTTTCACATATGTGGTAAATGGCTTTTACGCTCTTTGCAATTTGTTCAGTGGTATTTCTTCGCCTACCCCTTCACTCCTAGGGAGAGTTGGACCAGGAACGACTGACCAGGCAGCAGGAGCTCACGGCCTTGTACCAGATGCAGCACCTTCAGTACCAGCAGTTCTTAATACAGTAAGAGCAGTAACGCAGTAGGGTGCACTGCAGTATTCAAAGTGTCTTTATTTAAAAAACATTTTTTTGAAGAGTTTATTTGAAAGAGAGTGCACAAGAGTAGGGGGAGGGGCAGAGGGAGAGGGACACACAGAATCACCCCTGAGTGCAGAGTCTGATGGGGGGCTTAATCCCAGGACTCCAAGATCATGACCTGAGCTGAAACTAAGAGTCTGATGCTCGACCGACTAAGCCTCCCAGGAGCCCCTAAGTGCCTTTAGATAAAATCTCCCAAGTTTCACCTTTTACAGCAGAGAACTAAAAGTTTATAGGATACTTCAGTCACCTAGCTAGTCGCATGTTACCACTATATATTTGGAGTTTGGTCTTACCTTTTTAAATACCAGAAATTTGCAGAAAATGACACATAACTAGAATTTTGCTCTTTAGCTCCTAAAGCAAGAAACAAAAGCATTTTAAGAATTAAATGCCTCCTAAATGGCTCAACTTTGAATGCCACAGTGAAAAAACATAGATGAGAGGAAAGAAGTAAAAATTTATACTGTTAGCATTGGTGTGGAATGATGGCAGAATCACTTAGATTATGTGTCCCTCTGGTAGAAGAAGTAAGATTTGCTGTCATCTTGTGCAAAGACCGGCAAACCGGCTTGATCTCTGTTGTCATGAGCAGGGTTTTACAGGAATACAGCGACACGCTTTTGTTGGTGTGTTGTCTACGGCTGCTTTTGCACGGCAGTGGCAGAATTGAATAATTGCATGTGGCCTGCAAAGCTGAAAATATTTACTGTCTGGCTCTTTACAGAAAAAAATTTTTCTACCTCTCATCCAGTTGGGGAAAGAGAAATCTTTTTTTTTTTTTTCTCAGATTTTATTTATTTATTTGACAGAGACACAGCGAGAGCGGGAACACAAGCAGGGGGAGTGGGAGAGGGAGAAGCAGGCTTCCCTCTGAGCAGGGAGCCCGATGTGGGGCTCGATCCCAGGACCCTGGGATCATGACCTGAGCCGAAGGCAGACGCTTAACCAAATAAGCCACCCAGGCGCCCCGTGAAAAAAAGTCTTAACCTAAAATTTTCCAAGCTGAAACATAAATTTTGAGAATTTTTATACAAGTGATTTTATTTTTGCGAAAGGTGCTTCATGTGAAAGAAGCTATTCAAATCTGTTTTTCACTTGCTTTCTGATATTTTGGGGGAGTTTGACAGTTTTTGACATTTTGTAAATTTTTTTTGCTGTCCTCTTTGAGCATGTTATCTAGAAGTTCAGTTCTTTTTAGATTTAAGTAGAGAATTTTCTGTGTAACTATCCTTATCATGAAGAATTGTTAAGATTTATTTGATAGCTATTTCTAATGATGTTTTTGGGGGGTGGTGGACTGACCTTTGTCTTTCAGTATCTCAGTAAAGTGTACTAAATGTGCATAGACAGGTTACACTTTATTTTACTTTTTGAAGACAACAATATGCACAGGTTTTGGCTCAGCAGCAGAAAGCAGCCCTGTCTTCGCAGCAGCAGCAACAGTTGGCACTTCTTCTCCAACAGTTCCAGGCTCTGAAAATGAGGTAGGTGGTCATTCCATGATGTGTCGTGTGTGTGTATTAGAGAGAAGAAAGGAAATTTTAGAATAATGTGTGAACTCTGGTATCAAAATACCCACACAGGACACATATGTGTGTATTGTGTGTAAAACCAGAACATAGCTTTTAAAAATAGTAATTAAGCTGGCAATAAAACATTTTTGATCTTTTTACTTATAGAGGATAAATTTCAAATAAGAACCTCAGAATAATGACAATATTGGAAAAGCAATGTATTCTTACAGAACCAGCAAAAAAAAATTATAGTCTAGATGTTTAATCTCCTTTTCACCAATGAGATCTCAAGAAAGATACACTGCCACACAGAGTAAAAATTTTTCAGAACCCAAAAGCCATTAAGATAAGTCTGAGGAAAAGGAAATTATGCTAAAAGTCTTAAATTTCTGTAGTTTCAGATTATCATTCAGGGCAGTACTTGCTGTACTTCCTTCAGAGGTATCCGTGACTGTCTTAAAAACTTTACTGTCCGATTTAACCAAAACCTTCCACATTTCTCTCTTCAGTCCTAACCCAGCGAGTGAGGTGGGCACGTTAGGCGGTAAGGTGCCAGTTTACAGATGGATAAACTGATACACTGAGAGGCTAAAGAACTCAGTTGACATAATACACAGAGAACTTCAGAGACAGAACTAAAATGAAGACCTTTTGACTTAGGGTCTGTGGGTTTTTCATTATAACATGCTGCCTCTTTTACTCTTATTGACATATTCTGAGTTTTTTAAGACCATAGGTATATGCATTATCTAGAAATCAACATTTGTTAATACCTTGATTCAGAAGTATGATGACTGGGCCTCTATCTTTGTTCCTCCTCTAAACATTTTGGTAGTGTTACGGTTTAGTTAAAACAATGAAGGAGTTTTCTGGACAAATAGCCTGGAAATGTAGAAATTCCTCTTTATCTGTTTTTGCAAATGACAAGAACAAGTTGATTTTTTTATTTCCCTTTTGCAGAATATCTGATCAGAACATCATTCCTTCAGTAACTAGGTCTGTGTCGGTGCCAGATACTGGTTCTATCTGGGAGCTTCAGCCAGCAGCCTCACAGCCTACAGGTAAAAATTGGAGCTTGGTCTTCAGTGTAGCTCCAAAGATTTAGACTCTTACTTTATAATTCAATTTTTTTAAAATGTGTCAGTTTTTGAACCGTTTTATGTTGAATATTAACAAATAGTCTCATTTTTTAATAGACCCCAGCAAAGGATTGAAAATATATACTGTTAAGGATTTGCTAGAAGTGTTTAGTAGATAAATTTCATGAATTTGAATCAGCCTCTCTTTTTATGTTGCTCTAACCAGTGTGGAAAAGTCCTATGAATTGTTTTTTGACTTCTTCTGCCAGCCAGAGTGGAAAAAGAAAAAAAAGCTTAAGTAAAAACATCTGTTCTTTTGAGTGAAGGGTTAATACATAGCTTAACACTATAGGTACCCAGAAGTTTTGGGATGAAAAAAGCCTGCTTTAAAGTGAACACCCTACCTCATTCTCTGATCGTTTTGCATCTAATTAGAAAATTTGGGTCTGGGATTTTAAAAAAGTCTTGATATTGGTGGAACACTTCTGGATTTTAAGGTTTGATACCTGCAGAGGTAGGTAGTTTGAACCATGGATAGTCCTTAAAAGAGGTTATAGTTGGTGTTGACAATTCTCAGGAACCATAGGCATTGATGGATTTTTCTTAGAGCCCTTGAGCTTGTCAGGTGGTAGTCTCTTGCTAACACTGATCATGGGGATTATAGCAGGAGAAGGACTGATTATCATCCCTCATCAACTTTCCCTGCTCTGTGTACCTTATTTTTTCTTGGTAGCCATTTATAGTTCGGATGTTAAAATATTTTTCTCCAATTTTGGGGGAACTATTTATAAGTACCTTATTAAACAGTTTCTTTCTTTGGGTATGATACCAAATAGTCCATTCTTTTTATACAACCAATAATTTATAGTATAGAAATAGTGTAGGGAATAGAGAATGCTGGCAAGTGGTATCAGCAAACCTTGTGCTGGCAGTAGGAAAGCAGACTCAGAAGGCTTTATCTATTTGTTTACTCCTGCATCTGACTCTGTGCTGCCTTGCAGGTCAGTAGGACCTGTTGTCATTTGTGAGACCTGCCCAGCCTTTCCAGAGGCCTCCCCAGCTCCAGCTGTACCTCTTTCTTTCTCTTTGAAGTGAAATTCACATAACATAACATTAACCATTTTTAGATGAGCAATTCAGTGGCATTTAATACATTCACAATATTATGCAACTACTTAGTGCTCTCTAGTTTCACAGTTACATACCTCTCTTGACCCCACTCTCTATTGGGCGTGCAGTAAGAGGTTGTATGGCTTCTGGAAATATTGTGGGCTTTGGGATCTAATACACTGGGATTTAAATCCTGTCACGGCCACGTGCTTGGTGTGTGTCCTTGGGAATGTTATGAAACTACCCCTGACCTGTAGCTTATTCATCTGTAAAGATGGGGGATATGAACATAGGGTTTGTTTGTTTTGAGAGAGAGAGAGAGAGAGGGAGAGCGGAGGGTGGGGGAAGGGCAGCGGGAGAGGGAGAGAGGAAATCCTAAGCAGGTTCCATGCCCAGTGTGGAACCCGACACAGGGATCGAGTTGGATGCTCAAATGACTGAGCCACCCAGGTGCCCCTCTTATAGGGTTTTTTGAGGATGAAATTAGTTTCCCAGCAAATGCCTGGTAATTTCTTTCCTTCTAGATGTGTTGAAGGATATTGATTTAAATCAGAGCCCATTGGCAGTTTAGTCTACCTAAAAGCAGCACAGATATGTATGATGGAGCTTATTCAGGGACAGGGAAACAGCTTTTTCATTAATGCTTGTGGATATGTGATCATGTATGTAAGCTCTGATAACCTTCACTTTTCCCCTTATTGTCTTATAGTTTGGGAAGGTGGTAGTGTATGGGATCTTCCCCTTGACACCACTACTCCAGGACCTGCCCTTGAACAGCTTCAGCAGATGGAGAAGGCCAAAGCTGCAAAGGTCTGAAACTCCTTCTTCCATAGCAGTGCATGCTTTCTATCTGTAGGACATAGGCATTTGTTTACCGATGTCTCTCTCTGGCTAACTCTGCTTTTTCCTATTAGTTTACTGTTACTTAGCTGGTATAAGCACATTCATATTCTGTCCTTACTGTTCCCGCTTTTCCCAAAAAAGACCTCAAACAATGAAAATTAACAAGTTTAAATTAAATCACTTAAAATTGATTGGTTGGTTGACACATTAATGATTATGATCAGATGTATACTTTAATTACATTATTCATGGTATAAACACTTGTTATAAATTCTAAGATCTAGGAAAATAATACACTGCATTGCTTATCAAACCCTTGATCTGTGGCTTGAGTTCCCACATTGAATTTTTTTTTTTTTGAAGATTTTATTTATTTATTTCACAGAGAGAGACACAGCGAGAGAGGGAACACAGGCAGGGGGAGTCGGAGTGGGAGAAAGTGAAAGCCTTCTCATGGAGCAGGGAGCCCGATGCGGGACTCGATCCCAGTACCCTGGGATCATGACCTGAGCAGAAGGCAGACCCTTCACCAAGCCACCCAGGTGCCCCCCCCCCCACATTGAATGTTTATAGCGGTGTTAGTTTACATTTCTTACTGTCCCCAGACATGTGGTTGAAGAGCTCAACATTAACATTAGATCCCATGTTCCATCTACATCTTCTGGAGGAGCAGGGAATCTTGAATTTTGGTTTTTAGTACTTTCCAGCTGGGGATGTCTTATCAACACTTAGTGTCATTGTAATGATTCTGAATTCTCATGCCTCTGGGAGAATCTTGTTCCTATTTTATACTTAATGTATTCTTATCATCTGAGGTAGCGACAGTCTCCTTAGAGTGCACAGAAAGGGTTCATGGTCTGTCTCCATAAATGAGCAAGAGACCATAATTCAGCTAATTCTTCAGAGTGTTCTAGTACTGTATTGCTTTGTGCTGGGAACACACAGATGATGAGGGAGGGTTAGGAACTTGCAATCTTTTGTGTCTGGGGTGTGTGTGTGCGTGTGTGTGTGTGTGGAAGTGGGTGGGGGCAGTGACACACAGGCACGTAACACTTAGAGTTACAGGTTAGTCAGGAAAGCACATGGGCTAGCTATTCTCACCCAGTTGGAGAGGTGGGTGTCAGGAATTGGGTGACACTGTTGATGGACAGTAATACCTGCACTAATTTTCACTTGAAGAACAGTAGGATTAACCCAGTTGAAGGAAACAGTTCCTGTAAAGGCTCAGAAATGCATGAGAACATACTGGCTCAGGAAGCAGCTAAATAATTTGGTCTGGCCTGGAGCCATTGTGTGTCTGAGGGATAAGTGAAGAGCGAGGAGGCTAAGATGAGGCAAGCCAGTCATGAGGGCCCTTACACATGTCCTGGTAGAGGGTTAGAATTTATTTCAGGGTGAAGGATGGTGTTATGTGTAAGCCAGGAATGATTTTTTTGGTGGAACTTAAGATGTTGTGCTGGGGAATGTGAGCAAAACGGATGCTGGGAAACCAAGTAAGGGACTTTTAGAAATGTGGATGAGAAAGTGAAAGCCTAAACTGTACGTGTGGCAGTGAGAAAGGAGAGGAGGTGCTGGATTGGACTAGTAACTAGGAGCTATAAATGATAGAATTTGTTAAGTGGTTGGTCTTCAAATTTTAAAGAAGTCTATGATTTTTCACACTAGCAGCTTTACAACATTGCTATTAAAACCTTGTAGACACACTGTTACATCTTGAATCAGAAAATCCTTGTAGGGATGAGCAAAGAGCCACCCCAAGAGAATTCTGATGTTACTCTCCTGGTGGTCTCCTTCTCCCATGTCTAGGAGATGGGATGTGGTAGTGTGGAGTGAGGAGGTAGCTAAATGTCGGGGGAGAGCCCATTCAGTTTAGGAGAGCGTGACACTGTTCTGCCTACTGCGACATACCAGAGCTGAGTTCTTACAGAGCTGGTTTCATCACTCACTTGCAGTACAAGCAGCTGTGAATGGTGTAGTGTCTGCATCTTCCAGCTTCTCCTGATGGTACAGGTTGGTGATGTTGGAGTGTTTCTCTGCTTGGCTACAGGTTTCTTTTTCTTTTTCCTTTTTTTTAAGATTTTACTTATTTATTTGACAGAGACGCTGCGAGAGAGGGAACACAAGCGGGGGAAGTGGGAGAGGGAGAAGCAGGCTTCCCGCCGAGCAGGGAGCCTGATGCGGGGCTCGATCCCAGGACGCGGGGATCATGACCTGAGCCGAAGGCAGACGCTTAATGACTGAGCCACCCAGGCGCCCCTGGCTTCAGGTTTTTAAGAGTATTTTCTTGTAATCACAGCTAGAGCAGGAGAGAAGAGAGGCGGAAATGAGGGCAAAACGGGAGGAGGAGGAACGGAAGAGGCAAGAAGAACTGCGGAGACAGCAGGAGGAAATCCTTCGGAGGCAGCAGGAGGAAGAAAGGAAGAGGCGGGAGGAAGAAGAGCTTGCCCGAAGGAAACAGGTACACCTCGGAGAACACGGACCCCAGAATTAGCCCTGAACCGCGTTCATGGTTCTTGGGACATGGTCCCTCTGAGGTTGAGAGGGAGTTAATAGCAGGATTGGGATTAGAGCCTTAGGAGATTCACTTCCTTTAGAAGAAATATCTGTGACCCAGTAGCAGCCCCTGCGGGGTAGCTTCAGTCCTGGTAAATAACCAGAGTTGATTTCTTTGAATATTCTCAGTTAGATTTTGGAAGTAACTGAGTCTTTGCTTTATAACCAGTGATGATGAACAGTTTTTGTGGACTTTGGCTGTTTATATTTCTTTTTTGGGAATTCTCTGTTCATGTGCAGGACCCATTTTTCTGTTGGGATTTCTACAAATTCCATTTGAAACAATCCACTCTGTAATGGACCCAAAGTCCACTTTATCTCACATTTCATACCCGTTGTTGGCCGCAAGAGGTACTCTGTGGAAAACAAAAGGGTCCCTGCTGAGATTAGATTTGAACTACTAATATTTCTTAGGGTTACACTCTACAGTAGCATGTAAGGGCTCTAAGAAATATTGCAGTAAAGAAATCAGTTAAATTCTGTGTTGCTCAGTATTTCTTAAATTTTGACAGACACTTCCCCTTTTTTAAGATTTTACTTATTTATTTGAGAGAGAGAGATCACGAGCAGTGGGGAGGAGCAGAGGGAGAGGGAGAAGCAGACTCCCCTCCAAGCAGGAGCCTGATGCGGGGCTCCATCCCAGGACCCTAAGATCATGATCTGAGCCAAAGGCAGATGCTTAACCGACTGAACCACCCAGGCGACAGAGACCCTTTTCTTTGTACTTGACATGGGGGACTTCGTTCTTCAGAACACATTCTAGAATACACAACTTTGCTCAGTACTTCTGACTAGAGAGCTTATTTCTACCACACCAGGCATTTTTGGTTGCTATGTTGATTTGACCTATGTTCTGGGTTCTCCGTTGATTTGGGGGGGTGGGTAAATAAGGATTAATGGTACCAAAGAGAAGCCAAAGCCTCAGGCCTCCTGTAGCCCTTTCTGGGGTTAATTAGTAAATGCAGTAGCTAATGTGGAAACTAGGATGGACTCTCAGTGTAGTGCTATTTAACTGCTGCTGTTTTATTTTATTTATTTTTATTTGTTTATTTTTTAGAGAATAGAGCGTGTGTGTGCTTTAGTGGGTGGGTGGTGGGGAGAGGGAGAATCTTTATTATTATTTACTATTATTATTTTTTTTTAGAGGGGGGGGAGGGGAAGAGGGAGAGAGAGAAAAGGAGCCCGATACGGGGCTTGATCCCTCAACCCTGAGATCATGACCTCTGGGCCAAAATCAAGAGTCAGACACTTAACCGACTGAACACCCAGGTGCCCCACTACTTTAAATACAAATTATTTTAATTGTTGATATGTTTACTTCCCAACTCTTTTTACTCTAGATCCTGGTTATATTCTTTTTATATTTACTGTTGACAGAGCCTTAGCAGCACATAGTCTGTTTCTTTTCAGGTTATAATGGGATATATAAATCAAGATCCAGAGTTTCTTTCTGTCTCTCTCTCTCTCTCTCTCTCTCTCTCTCTCTCTCTCTCACCCTCACCCTCTCACCCCCCCACACACACCTTTTTTTTTTTTTTAATTTAGGAGGAAGCTCTGCGACGCCAAAGGGAGCAAGAAATTGCATTAAGGCGACAGCGAGAAGAGGAAGAAAGACAACAGCAAGAAGAAGCTCTTCGGAGACTGGAAGAGAGGAGGAGAGAAGAGGAGGAAAGGCGGAAGCAGGAAGAGTTGTTACGCAAGCAGGTGACGGATGGTTTGCTCTTCTCATTGCTTCTTTGAAGCTAGGAATTTGTGATTAGAAAGTGTTTGGATAGGAGGATAGCTTATTTAATGAAAATTATTAGAAGAGACCTAAGTGACTCTTACTACTTTTGTAATGACTGTCCCACAGGTAATTGCAGAAGCTGGACAAAATATCAAAGAACCAAAAACCCCCAGAATACCAGGGAGAAATCTAAAGAAGGCCTACCCTTTAAAAAACCAAATGAGAGCTCTGCAAGTTGACCACTTTTGCCTGAGGGTACTCTCACTTTTCTGAAGTGCACTATTCAGTGCTACTTCGTATTTTCATAGGCTGTGTAACAGTGGGCACTATCCAATTCTAGTCCATCCAGGTCATTCTGCCACTACAGGCAGCCAGAACCCCTAAAGCATTTCCTTTTAATGTTTAAGAACTTAGTTTTTTTTTTTTTTAGTAGACTTTATTTTTAGAGCAGTATTAGATATTCAGAAAAATCTGGATGATAATATGGTTTTCTCCCTATTATTATCTTACATTAATATGGCATATTTGTCACATTAAACCATTATTGATATATTATTATTAACTAAAATCCATAGTTTGTTTTCACATTTCCTCAATTTTTCCCTCATGTTTTTTTTTCTGTTCCCAGATCCCAAATCCAAAATATTATATTTAGTTGTCTCCTTAGCTTCTTCGCTTGACAGTCTCTCAGGCTTTCCTTGTTTTGAGGATCTTTGGTAGTTTTAAGGTATAATGGTCCGTATGTTATAGGGTAACTCTCTATTGGAACTCATCTGATGTTTTTCTTACAATTAAACTGGACTTACGGGGTTTGGAAAGTAAATCACACAGAGGCAAAGTGCCATTTTCATCACACTATATCACGGATACATATTCTCAACAGGATTAATGACTGCTGGTGTAGACCCTGGTCGCTTGGCTGCAGCAGTGCCTGTCAGGTTTTTCCACTGTAAACGTTACTCTTCTCCCCACATACTGTACTCTTTGGAAGGAAATCACTGTGGGCAGTCCATACTTATACATGTAGATTGACACAAGCTGGACATTACCTGCTTTTGCCTAAGTTCTTGACTGAAACTCTTTGAGCAACCTAAATACTATTAGAGGTAGATAGACCTCAAGGGTAGATTGTATGTCAGTTCGTCATTTGGCTTATTCATTTGACAGTTAACATATTTAGTTAAGGTACTATATGCCAGTTATTGTGCTTGTTTCCTGGTGGAGTATGAAAGTTTTAAAGAAATTGTTTCTGTCCTTAAGAAGCTCACTGGCTATGTTGTTGATGATTGTACAAGAAATAAATGCCACAGTTAGGATGCTTTCAGGTGCAAAATGAAAATATTCACTTAAAAATAGTTTAAACAACAGATCCCATATCAAGGATATAAGGCAGTAATTCAGTGCTATCATTAAGGATCCAGGTCCTTTGCAAAATTCTGCTCTAGTGTTTCTTGGTGGGTTTACTTTGACTTCAGATTTTTCACTTCATGATTAGGAGTTTTGGGTACCATGCCCTTGTACAGCCTGCAAGGGAATGTTCCTTCTCTTACGCTTCTTTTGTTTCAGAGGAATACCTTCTCTAGAAGCCTCCCAGCAGACATTCCTTTGGCCTAAATCATGTCACATGGGTGCCCCTAGTTACATTGGAAGCTTTTTATTTATTTTTTTTTAAGACTTTTAAAAATTTATTTGTTAGAGCGTGGGCGAGAGAGAGTGAGCAAGAGTACAGGCAGGGGGAGATGCAGGCAGAGGGAGAAACAGGCTCCCTGCTGAGCAAGGAGCCCAATGCAGGACTCAATCCCAGGGCACTGGGATCATGACCTGAGCCGAAGGCAGCCACTTAACCGACTGAGCCACCCAGGCGTCCCTGGAAGCTTTTTAAAATGTGAAATCTGGCATTTTAGATGTCTGAGGTGACAGAGCCTCTGTCCCCAAGGAAGAAGCCTGAAAGGAATGGGTTTTGGATAGGAAATAGTTGTTGCCACGGGTGGACTAGGAGCAAACAGAGGACGAGGTATAATTGGACAAAATGAAATGGGAGAGGGGAAGTCTACCTCCTAAGGGCTAGGGAAGTCCTCGTAGAGTGGTTGATACCTGCCCTGAGTTCTGGAGAATGAAGGGGAATGGGCTATCTGAATAAAACAGCATTGTAGGTACAGTAAGCAGACTCTGTGAAGGAGGGTGGGGAGAGTTCCAGAGGGCACACTGGAATGGTTTTGTAGAAGGAAAGCAGAAGGACAGTGAGCCAAGGTACAGGACAGAGTAGTAGAGGGATGGACAATGGGTCGAGGAGAGATGTTCCAAAGGACTCGTGGGCCACAAGGGGTGTGAATCAGGGATGGAATTTAAGTGGTCTTGTAAGGTTGCTCTGGTTCCAGAACTGGTTGGTGCTTTCCTGGTAATCTGTCCTTGCAAGGTCTGGTTAACTTTTCAAGTTCAGCACGCTGAAAAGCTAGCTCTGCCTCAATATAGGAACAGTCTCCAGAAGCCTTTGCTGCAGTTGGTGGTGATCTCTTAGAGAGATCAGTGCTTACCACCGATGTTCAAAGTGACATTCCTTTCATGGAGCATTTAGCAAATAAATTGAAATTTTATCCTGTAAGCAGGCCAGGCCTTTGTAGCTACTGTAAATATATTTTCAAAGAAAACTTATCTCTGCCTTTTGTCATCATAAACAGTTTCTGTTTTCTCTGGTACTTGTATAGTTTTTTGACAGAAACCTTCTAAAGTGATTCAGATTTTTTTTTTAAACACAATTAAATTTTATTCTTTTGTTTTTCCTTCTGGGAAGGAAGAGGAGGCTGCAAAATGGGCCCGGGAAGAAGAAGAAGCCCAGCGTCGATTAGAGGAGAACCGGCTGCGGATGGAAGAGGAGGCAGCCCGACTCCGGCATGAAGAAGAGGAGCGGAAGAGGAAGGAACTGGAGCTCCAGCGGCAGAAGGAGCTGCTGCGCCAGAGGCAGCAGCAGCAGGAGGCTCTCCGCAGGTTGCAGCAGCAGCAGCAGCAGCAGCAGCTGGCTCAGATGAAGGTAGAGCCTCGGCACAGCCACAGGGGCTCCTTGCCTGGTAGTTTTAGGTAGATGCTGGCGGGGCAGTAGCAGTAAAGCAGTGTGCTTTTTTTAAGTACTGAACGTTAGTACTTCCCCCCCCCCCCCCCCAGTAAGCTCCATGCCCAGTGTGGGGCTTGAACTCAACGACCCAGACGAAGAGTCGCATGCTCTACCGATTGAGCAAGCCAAGCAGCCAACAAGATTTAGTGACTGGATCTGAGGGACAAAGACAGAGCTGGGGTGGCTGCCAGGTAGTAAGCCTTTGGTGACCATAAAGTCATGGCGTTAGTGATGGAATGGGAGTGATTAGGAAGCTTTATGGCAGGGTCCCAAGAACTTTACATGTGATCTGTGGTTAGCAGTATGGTTTAGTGTCCCCTATCTTCAGGGAGCTCATGGGAGAAAGACATATAAATAGGAAATGTGAATACAAAGTGGTGAGTGTAGTGAGAGAGGTGGCAGTTCTCAGGGTGTGAGCACATGGGAATTTGTTAGGAATGCAGAGTCTCAGGTCCCACCCCAGACTTCCTAAATCAGAACCTTTTGGTGGTGGGACCCAGTAATCTGTGTTTGAACAAAGCCTCCAGGGCATTCTTCTCCTTGCTCTAAAATGTGAGAACACTGTCGACATGGGAAGTGTGGAAAGGCTTCCTAGAAAAAGGTAACTTCTAAACTGAGTCATTAGGGAGGAAAAATGAAAAACAAGGAAAAGCTAAATAGGCAGTTTGGAGAATGGAGGGGGCTTTTGAGAGAGGAGACATGGTGTAAGCAGAGGAATGAAGTTCAGAAACACTGTGGTATGTTTGGGGGAATTTAAAAAGTGAGTTACTACTGCTGGCGAGTGAGGTCTGAGAGAAGTGTGGGCAGGGTCTGTGTCACCATGGGTTGTATATACTCTATTAAAGAATTAGGACTTAAAGGTGTGTAAAACAGTGGGGCACTGAAGTGTTTTCATCTAGGAAATAGCATTGTCCGATTGCAGGAGCAAATATTTATCACTTTGAGAACTAAATGGAAGATGGACTTGTAAGGAACAGGACTGGAGGTGAGCAGAGTACTTGTGAGGGGCTGGTGGGGAGTGGTTCAGGTGAAGGAGAGGAAGGTGGTAGTAGGATTGGAAAGTTGGAGTTGAAGATAGCAGTAATTATTGAGTGTTTGCTTTGTGTCAGGCACTGGACCACAGCTTTTCATATGTTACATCATTTCATCTTTACAACCATTGTTAAAAGCTTAAGTGTGGATGCCTATGTTCTACCAAAGAGGAAAAATGTTCAGGAGCTTAGTTTTAGCTTGCTTTGGGTCCAGCTGAGAGTTGAGAGCAGAGCCATGTGTTAGAACCCATGTATCTTTGGCTCCAGGGCCCTGAAAAGGCTGTCAGAAGACTGTTCTTAGAGACCACATCATAGAATGTGGTGGGGGATAAGATTATGGGGATAAAGGGGGAAGACAAAGGCACAAGTAACTTCCAGATCTCTAACTTCTCTGGCTGTCTTTTGTGTGTCTGGTTTTGACCTGTTACCTTCCAATAAAGACTGTAGGAGATTTTTTTTTTTTTTAATGATTTTATTTATTTGAGAGAGCAAGAAACAGAGCACGAGCAGAGGGGAAGGGGCAAAGGGAGAAGCAGACTCCCTGCTGAGCAGGGAGCCCAATGTCGGGCTTGATCTCAGGACCCTGGGATCATGACCTGAGCTGAAGGCAGACGCTTAACCACTGAGCCACCCAGGTGCCACAAGACTGTAGAGATATTTTACAGATAAACATTCTGAATGAAGATAAAGAACTTAAGGTGGTTATGAGGAATTACTAAAGGTTCTGCGGGGGGGGGGGGGTTTTTTGTTTTTTTTTAAGATTTTATTTATTTATTTGACAGATATAATGAGAGAGGGAACACAAGCAGGGGAAGTGGGAGAGGGAGAAGCAGGCTGCTGAGCAGGGAGCCTGATGCGGGGCTCGATCCTAGGACCCTGGGATCATGACCTGAGCCGAAGGCAGACGCTTAACGACTGAGCTACCCAGGCGCCCTGAAAAAAGTTTTTTAAAGAGGGCTTTATTGAGATAGAACTGACATACCATACAATTGGACCATTTAAAGTAGACAATTCAATAATTTCAGTATATTCAGATATGTGCAACTGTCACCATGTGGATTTTGACATTTTCAGTATCACCCTAGGCCCCGCAAAACACCCTCTGGCTGTCACACCCTACCCCCTGTTCTCCCCAGCCCAAAGTAACTCCTAATCTACTGTCTAGATTTGCTTATTCTAGACATTTCACATAAATACAGTCATATGATATGTGGTGCTTTGTGACTGTCTTCTTTGAATTAGCATAATGGTTTCAAGGTTCACTTATACTCTAATATGAATCAGTACTTTATTCCTTTTTATGGCTGAATAGTATTCCACTATATGGACATGCCAGCTTTCGTGTATCCATTCCTCAGTTGATGGACATTTGAGCTGTTTCTGTCTTTTGGCTATTATGAGTATTGCTGTTATAGATAAATATTTATGTACAAGCTTTTATGTAGATGTATAAACCTAGGAGTGGAATTGCTGGGCGATATGAGAACTATGTGTTTAATGGTTTGAGAAACTACCAGACTGTTTTCCAAAGTGGCTGTACCATTTTACCTTACCACCAGCAATATATGGGAATTAAAATTTCTCCAGATCTTCATTAATCCTTATTATCTGATGTTTTGATTATAGCCACCCTTGTAGGTGTGAAATGGTATCTTGTGGTTTTGGTTTGCATTTCCCTGATGACAAATGATGTCGAGTATCTTTTCATGTGTTTATTGGCCATTTGTGTAGCTTTGGAGAAATGTCTATCCAAATCCTTTGCCTGCTTTTAATCTAGGTTTATCTTACTGAATTATAAGAGTTCTTTATATATTCTAGCTATTACAAGTCCCTTATCAGATACATGATCTAAAAATATTTTTTTTCTATTATTTGAGTTGTCTTTTTACTTCCTTGATAGTGTCCTTTGATGCATAAAGTTTTTCATTTTTATGAAGTTCCATTTTTTCTTTTGTTGTTTGAGCTTTTGATGTAATATCTAAGAAACTGTTGCCAAATCTGAGGTCATCAAGATTTATTCCAATGTTTTCTTCCAATACTTTTGTAATTTTAGCTGCTGTGTTTAGGTCTTTGATCCATTTTGAGTTAGTTTTTGTTAATTGTGTGAGGTAAGGGTTTGATTTCCATTCTTTTGCTTGTGACTGACTATCCAGTTGTCTTACACCATTTGTTGAAAAGACTATTCTTTGTCTGCTGAATGGCCTTGACATTCTAGTTGAAAATCAGTTGACCATGGACACGTGGTTTCATTTCTGGACTCTGAATTCTATTCAAGTGGTCTATACATCTGTCATTATGCTAGTAACACACCATCTTGATATTTTATTGCTTTGTTTAACTTTTGAAATCAGAAAGCGTGAGTCCTCCAACTTTATTCTTTTTCCATGTTGTTTGGCTATTCTGGGTCTCTTTCAGTTCCATATGGATTGTAGAATGAGCTTATCAATTTCCATGAAGAAGCCAGCTGGGATTTTGACAGAGATTGCCTTGACTCTGTAGATCAATTTGAGGAGCTTTGCCACCTTAACAATATTAAGTCTTCTGATCCATAAACATGGGATGATTTTTATTTAGATCTTCTTGAATTTCTTCCAGTATTTTACAGTTTTTAGAGTATAACTTTTGTATTACTTCTGTTAAACTTATTAAGTATTTTGTTCTTTTTGATGTTCTTGTAAATGGAGTTTTCAAAATTTCATTTTCAGATTGTTCATTGCAAGTATATAGATACATAATTGATATTTTTTTTTAAAGATTTTATTTATTTGTTAGAGAGATACAGCAAGAGAGGGAACACAAGCAGGGGGAGTGGGAGAGGGAAAAGCAGGCTTCCCGTGGAGCAGAGAGCCCGATGCGGGGCTTGATCCCAGGACCCTGAGATCGTGACCTGAGCCAAAGGAAGATGCCTAATGACTGAGCCACCCAGGCGCCCCTACAATTGATATTTGTATATTGAACTTGTATCCTGCAATCTTGCTGAACTGCTTTATTAATATTTCTTAATGGATTCATTAGGATTTTCTGTACACAAAATTTTGTCATCTGCAAATAGAGATGGTTTTACCTCATCCTTTCCAATCTTTTATTTCATTTTCTCCCTAGTTGTCCTGGCTAGAACCTCTAATACAATGTTGAATAGAAATAGCAAATTGAATATCTTTGTCTTGTTTCTGATCTTGTGGGAGGAAGCATTCAGTCTTTCACCATTAAATTTAATGTTATTTGTGGATTTTTTTGCAGATGTCCTTCATCAGGCTGAGGAGGTTTCCTTCTATTCCTTCTTTGTTGAGCATTTTTATCCTGAAAGGGTGTTGGATTTTGTCATATGCTTTGTGTCTGTTGAGATGGTCGTATATTTTTTTGTTTTGTTTTGTTTCTATCAATATAGTGTAATACATTAATTGATTTTCAGATGTTGAACACTGTTGGATTCCTGGGATAAATCCTACTTGGCATATAATTCTATTTTTATATGTTGCTGGACTTGTTTTGCTGGTATTTTGGTGAGGACTTTTGTGTTCATATTCATAAGAGATTTTGGTCTTTCTTGTAATTTTTTTCTTTCTTGTGATGTCTTTGTCTGATTTGGTGTCACAGTAATGCTCGCCATTGAAGAATGAGTTGGGAAACGTTTCCTCTTCTATATTTTGGACTTGCTCGTGAAGAAGTGGTATTATTTCTTCTTCTTTTGTTTTTTTTAAGATTTTATTTGGGAGAGAGAGTGAGTGAAAGAGCACGAGCAGGAGGAGCTGCAGAGGGAGAGGGAGAAGCAGGCTCCCTGCTGAGTAGGGAGCCTGACATGGGACTTTGGGATCATGACCTGAGGTAAAGGCAGACGCTTAACAGACTGAACCTCATAGGCGCCCCAAAGCGGTATTACTTCTTTAA